GTGAAGTGATGCTTTTAATATTAAGTGGAGAATTGTAGAGTTATTGGGAATGCTTTCAGTAGAATTTCAAAGTAATCGTGCAATTTCAGAGCCTTTTTGAAATTCTTGATTTTTGAACTGAAAATGTATTCAATCATTGTGTCAGAAACCTGGAACACACCAAATTTTCCTGTTCCCATATTTTGTATTTTTCCACTTGTTTCAATATTCATTATCATTTTTATAACCTTCTTCAACCATATTCTCATTATCGATCTATTAATGGTTCTTGAGAACAGAATTAGCTTGCATTTTTAGCAAAAATAAAACTTATATTTAATCTACATATTTTGCAAACATCATTTTCGAAGTTACATTTCTTACTAACTGAAGTAACTCTTCTGGAGAGTACGTGGTAATTTTATAGAAAAGTAATTTTTAAGATAACCAAACATGGTTTATCATTATTTTGTTTTACCTAGTGGAAAATATTTTTTAATTTCGGTTGTTTGGTGTTTAGGGTAATGGATAATGGGTTTTGCTTTCTACTATTTCGTCAGGTGTGGGCAATTGCGAATTCCAAAAGGCAAGGTTTTCTGGGTTTTAAAGAGTTTATCACCTCAATGCAGGTTGATATCCTTCCTTGATTGGTGTTATGCAATAATGACCATAATTTGGATCTGATCTATCTTAGCATTATAACATGTAGTTGGTCTCCTTGGCACAGACTGGGCATGCTATCACCAGTGATATTATAAACGCTGAAGGTAATAAGTGGAGTGTCAGGTTATTTTGCTTCACGAATACTTTCTTAAGCTTGTGTATTTGTTCCAGAAGGTGATATTACAGCGTTTTAAATATTTTAATCATTTGCAGTTGACTTTGAACACTTAAAATCTCCAGCCACGGAAGGTCTCATTAGTTCATGAAGGAACTTGATCTTTCTGTTTCTTAAGCTTGTGTATTTGTTTCAGAAGGTGATATTACAGCGGTTTAAATATTTTAATCATCTGCAGTTGACTTTGAACAGTTACAACCTCCAGCCATGGAGGGTCTGGATGTTCTCCTAGCTGTAAGTCTACTACATGTTTTTTCTATACTTTCATTTAATTTCAAATGTTAGGTGCTTTGTAACTTTTTTATTTTTCATTTGTAGAAGAGAAAGCATACACTTAAAAGTGAACCGGAACAGAATGGTAAGACAGATGATATTTCATTTAGACATTTACAAGTGTATTAGTGTTTGCTTTTTGTGTGTTTATATAATAAATTTGCTATAATTCAGCTAGTTCTCAGGTGCAAACATCTCCATCAGCTAGTTGGTTTACTTCTTCAAAATCTTTAAACAAGGTATGTTGGCATGCATTTTGAAATTGTAGCCTTCTTTTGCTTTCATCAATGCCTTTATTCATCAAAACTTCTATCATTTCTTCTTTTATGCTGTATTGTCATTCTTAGTCACAATTTGTTTTGTTTTTTGAGCCTCATCAAGGCTGTGTTGATTTATATTGGGTTCATCCATACTTATTTGATTTCATGTATTTTTTTAAAAGATAACTGACAGCAAGTTTAGAATTTCAATATGTGGTGTTCAATGTATGAATGCATAGTGCCCCCTCTTTTCATTTCATTGGTTTGATTTTTTCTGTTCATGTACCTTTCTTTCCACCAGTTTTATTATACATTTCCTAGATGTAATTTCATCTATTGTTATTTCTCTGAATCCTTCGTAATTATTGTGTATGGTATCTTTGGCCTCTGTTACCTCAATTATTGATGGTTTGAAAAGGTTGTATGTTCAGAAGCTGAAGCCACTAGAAGTTACTTACTGATTTAATGATTTTGTTTCCCCCTTACTAGTAAGTATTTTATTCTGCTTCATTCTGAAATGTGTTATTTAGATAGAATTGATGGTGTTTGTTTCTTTTCTTAATGTTGATGATTAATTGGTCATGAAAATTGATTCACAGTTGGCTAACTCTTTATTAATGTAT